GGTGATAAAAGCCGAGATCAATCGAGCACGATCCGTCATTTTCACCACCCAATATCCACTCGCCATATCCAAAGAGCAGTACCAAAGTGTCGACTCCAGATCTTCGAGTAGGTCGTTGATCAAGAGCATTGGATAGACCATCAGCTGAGTTAGACTATTAACCAACCAATAATTGATGCATAGCCTGATATCCACTCCATTCTTCTTGATGATTAGCACGATCGGGTAAGCCCACGGTGATCTAGAGTAGTTGATCATCTTGACCGACAATAGACCCTCGATCAAGTCCGCCAGCTTCTCCCTAAACTGGATCCGCAACTTACGACATTTGAGGGCGATAGGTCTCGCTCCCCCAACATCGATATCGCACACCACTCCTCTAGCCGCCGGCGGAAGGGCATTTCCCTTACCGATCAAGAGATGTCGGAACTTCCAGATCCGTTGGCGAAGTCGATCAATTTCTTCTGGGGTCTGGTTACCAGATCCACATAGCTGAATGTCCTCGATCTTCACATCTTCCGTCGTCACAGGCCCTTCCGGCAGTACCGCCGTCTGACCGTCGACGTCTTCTGTGTATAGATCACTTCCTTCATGGTAGTATACACATTCATCATCCCAGGTGAGGTCCAGATCCGATGTGCCTGGTTCATCTTCAACAAGAGGTGATGGATCCATGTCCGTTTTTTGCGACATAGATGCGGCGCACTTGTCGTTCGACGGATCACCGGTCACATGTTCCGTCCCAGATTGTACACTCATCATTGATGGCAGATCCGACCGCAGCATTTCGACGGTGATGTTCCTTGATCTTGACCTCTCGAATGTAGCTAATCCTGACTGACGACCCCAATTTCATCTCGGTCATCCTCTTCTCGTATTTCCACTACGTCTGTAGTTTCCTCCAACGACGGATTAGTCGCCCACACGTCTGACGTCACTTGATCGAGATCTTCTAGCGTCTCCTTGACCGTTACGGCATGCGATATAGAGTCTTCGTCTGCGATAGACGATAGATCCGACTCTTCACTCGCGGTAGACGATAGATCCCGGTCGAATCTCCGACGGCGATTTGTCCGACGGCGACTCGTCCGAAAGTAGGCAGTCAGGAATATCTTGATCCTGACTCGCCTCGACCTTCCGACACTGGATCAACGTCGTCTTCGGTCTTTGGAGTATTGCGCGCGGAGTTTCGTACCCGGATCGCCCCACCGCGGGTGTAAGCGGGATCTTGACCTCCATTTCTTCGGATCGGGTGTCTGTCGTAGCTTCCAACGCTAGATTCTGCCACTCCATGTAACGACGAGAGCCGATCGAGATAAAACCCGGTATCCGTGGCACAAGGACTCCGGCCAGTCAGATCCCGATCCGTTGGTCTTGATGCAGGGTCAACACCTCGTCCCCGATGTTGGTGATCGAGATATATTTCGTCCTGCCTGGTCCACCGGATATTGTCGGCACCCATTGATCCCCACGCGTGACCCACAGCTTGTCGTGGATCGAGGGCGCAATGGCAGTTCCACCGACTCTCCTGCTTGGATCCGAAGATATTGGCCGACGTTTACGATCTTCGCCTTATCGCTATAAAGCTGCCGCCTCCCGCCAAGCTGGATCCGGACTTCATCCGCCAAACTGATGGATCCATGGGCTAGATCTAGGCGGATCCCGGCTGGAATAATGAAGTCCATACCAAGTATAGTTTGTTGGCCAGTCAGATCAACCACCCAGATATCGAAGAAATATACCAGTGATCCAGCGAGAGTCACCTTGATCCGGGTTCTTCCTTCTGTCCGGTACACATTGTTCCTACACAGTCCTGGATCTGACTCGAAGCGATATAGCACCCAACCTTACGAGCAAAGGTGGTGTCCACGATGGACACCTCGGCGCCGGTATCTAAGAGTAAGATCGCCTTCTCATTGTGGATTTTGCCTGTGATCTTAGCTTGACGAAACCATTTTCCTGGCGAATGATGCTTCCAGTAACCCGAGATTCTCCCGGTAGTAGAACCATGGTCATTGACCGTCGGTACTCTGAGATCTTGCTAGGCCTCTGGATCTCCGGAGTAACCTAATGATCTGTGGGCTTAAACCATAGATCTGGATCTTAATCTTGTTGTCTCCAAAAACCTCGTGACTCTCCTGGTTGAAGATCCACACTCATGGTGACGTTA